TCACAAAGTGAAAAAAGAATAATGCAAGTAATTACAAATTTTGGTGCTAATATATCTGCTACTTGTTGTAATCCTTCAGGTAAGCTTTCATTATGGAACATTCCAAATTCGAGAATTTCTGAAAGTAAAGCAAAAGCTATTAGATGAATTTGTAAAAGTCTTCAAAGATTATCAACTGAGATCTAACTGTTATTATTGTGAATTGATTTAAACTTGTTCCTCAGAAATTATTAATCATTGATAATTAGCATTAGTAATGAGTAAAAATTAACTCATTGTAGTAATTTATTAATAATCACGGATGAATAAAAAAAGGAATTGAAAGACTTACTAGATGGAGGTTGTTCTACATCCGATAAGTAACTGGCAACCTTTTTACGCCATAAATAACTGATATTACTTACTTTATCATCACGAACATTATACGTAAGTCGTACAGCTCGAACATAATCAAAGTGACCTTCCTAAAAGCAATAATAATTTTTCTGAAAAAAATTAAATTCTTTGAAATTTGACTTCGTCCTTATAAGTTAGAATGTCTAAATGTAGACTAACTCTTTCTAGAAAGTATTTACTGCAATTTCCAAGTTACTTATATAAAATATCATTGATCAAAAATCAATGACAGATAAAAGTTTATGACAAATTTTTTATTAAAATTTTAATAAATTTTTATTCTCCCACTTACTTATTAACAGAAATTAATAAAATTATTATGATCACCAAAACTTTACAAAATTTAAACTGGACAAATATTTGTAGATAAACTAACCTTATCAATAAGATGTGGTGCACCAATTAATGCCCCAAAATAAATAGGCTCTGTGCCTCTCCACCCAATTGGGTATGTTATTTTTACCTAAAAAATTCATTTGTCTAACAAAAATTATTTTTGACTAATAAAAATAACAAATTTTAATTGAAATTAACAGTTTATGGTAGACTTACTATGCTCAACTGAGAATATATTAAAATTAATTTGAATAATTATTTAAATGAAAATTTTTGATTGTAAACTCTAAAAATTAACAAAAATAAATAAAAGTATAATATGAAAAAATGAATTATTATTATTTCAAACTTCATTAGTGATTATATCATCTGCGAATTCTGCAAATTTGGAGTCGAAAGTAGTCCAGCGTTCCTTAGGCATTAGCATGATCACATGCTCATTCATAAAACACTTCCAATCGTATGACATACACAAGTCCGTAAAACCAACTTTATATGCTATATTATTGTGTGTTACCGGTATCGTTATATTATTTATAATATGCTAGAAATCGTAGATCAAATTTATTTGTGCCTGGATTTATGCAGGAATTTACTGTTAAATAATATTTATTTTTGAATTACAGCACTACTATTAGTCAGTGTCAAGCATTTTCTAGTATTTTTATCATGGTTATTGGCAACTTCTTTTGATAATGATAATATTAATATTAGTGCAATTAATAATATCATGATATTTATTATTATTAATTATTATTATTGGTAACATTACTTTCATTGATGGAATACTATAAATTTTGTAAAATATCTACTATTTAATGCTGTTAAGAGTAATTGCTGACGTTAATTTTATTTATTACCTTTAATATTAATCATTACTAATTACTCGTAGTTACTAATTTATTGTTACTATTATTTTTATATTATATTATGAATGAAATGCTAAATAAAGCATAATGAATGCACCAAATTAAAAGAACTAATAACAAAAACAAAGTAATCTAAAGAGAAATCTCAAAAAGTAGTTAAAAAACAAGAAATGCAATAAGTTGAAAACTTAAATAACATATTTAAAAATACCTGATTAATTCGTTCTAACTCATCCAAATATTCAATTCTTAGCATATTTGGCCTGCCAAATTTGGGATGCTTTTTTCCAGCTGCAATAATATCCACATATCCATTATAATCATAGCTTTTTCCAGGCCAAAATTCTTGCTCATTCAGTGGCCAATGTTGGCTTAATATTTCTTTTTCATAGCGCCATTTTGCATTTTTTGGTGAAAACACATATTGTGGGTCAATGGTTGTCTGAAAGATTGTTTTTGTACATTTTTCGGTAATATTTTGCATTAGATAAAAGTTAAATTTGCAAAAATTTTAAAATATTGTAGTCCAATTAACGATAACAAAAAGTTATATTTAGCATAAATAAAAGTATTCAAATCTCTACCTGTGCTTTGATGAAAATAAATCCGAAGCTAAGTGCTATTGTAAGCAGAATTGGTACAACAAATAGAACAAATCGAAAGCGATAGGCAATAAAACCCCAACGATAAAATGTGCGATGGATAAAATTATCAAATGCTATTTTCATCGAAAAGATTACAAATTCATAAGCTTCAAATCGCAAATATTAAGCTTAATTAATGAATATGTCGCAACACTTTACGGTGAGCAGTCAAATATAAAACATCTGATAATATCTTATGATCTAGAAAAACTCCGTACAATTAATCAGTCAATTTATTAGCAACAAATATTATTAATTAATTATTATTATCATTGGACCACTACTATTATTACTCTTATAAGAAACTGTTAGTCATAGTGATGGATAAAGAGATCTGCACTGTTATTAAATTAATTAACAGCCTAAGCTTAGTTAATACAAAAACTGACAGTATAGTTAGTCATAATATAACACAAAGACATAGTAATTAGATGAGGAGGTTTTTAAAAAATTTAAAAATACAAAAAGTGATGCATGGAAGAAATTGAAATGCGGTGATTCACTGTGCGCGGAATTTGTGTCATCGTTATCCCATTAATTGATCTACTCAATATTTAACATTTCTTGAAATGACGAAAATTTGTGAGTCAGCGATAACAATGATGACTATCAAATGCTTTGTACTGACCACATCTATAATGATGATAAAAGTTGCATCACTGATAAGAACAATTATGAAAATTTTGATACACATCAGTAATTAATACAGATTAATGCATATTATGCAAATTAATTATATTAATTATTGATCATCTAATTATTACTGCTGCATCACCAGCATTAAGTACAACAACAACAGACCAAGTTAATTAGATTTAACAATAATGCAGATCTATCAAAATCACTGACAGTTTTAAGATACCAGAATGACTTAGTGATAGTCTAATAATGACAATTGCGATAATGATAATAATAATAATATTAATAATAATAAATAATAAATAAAAATTTTCTCATTATAACTATAAAAACAATATTGTAGTTGCGATTGTTCAAGTAAGTGATCTTCAACTTTCGATTAAATAATGGCCCTTCACCATCTATTTTTCAATGTTTGGATATTGTATATATTATTAAGTGTAAAATATTGTATTGAATTATTTTAATTATATTCTATAATTAAACTTAAATTACACCAAAAGTTTGATAAAATATGTATTGACAAAGTAAGTCTTTATTAAAAACCTAAAAATAGAACAAAGTAAGTCTTTGTTCTGTTTTTAGCTTTTTTAATTCCAATATTTCTGTACAAATAATTGTGATCACAACGTGTGATTTTATGATTTATTCGGTAATTTCAATTAAAAAAACGTGTATTAAAGCAATTCATAGTTGAGAACGAGTTTCAACTTTTATCATTGTGTGAATGAACAAATGTAAAAAGTGTGACACAGATATTTTGTTAAATGATTTAATTTGGGAATAAAATTTAGGTCTTTATGTGGAAAATACGAATTGAAGAATCTTTTAGGGACTCACGCAGCCTTTAAATCTCAAAGTGATTAACTAACTATTCTTATTTTATTGAGCATACTAATTTGTTCGCTTTTGCTTGCTTTTTCACATATTTTCTAATTTTATTGGCTCCTTGCAAAAATGCAAAAAACAATTAACACAAAAAATACATTTTTATAAAATTTAAATTTTATAATGTTCTCACCGTAATGGCGGGGAGAAATTCATAGTTTATTATTTAATATTTAAAATTAAAACTTTCAATGACTTGCTATAATTCGATCTAACTTTATTAATTTCACCGCATAAGTATGAACTGATTGATGCATTTTTTCGTGTTCGAAAGAGTTTGTTCAAAATCTTTTATTTCAATTATATACTTCAATAATACAAACAATACTGATAAGTTTGCGCGTTTTTTTCGTGTAAAATTCACAAACTAATATGATTATATCGTAATGTTTATCAGTGCATATTTTGTTCTAAACGTTAAAAATTTTTTATTATATTCAAATTTGTCAGATAAAACGAATTCAATACGACTCGTTTAATACACTCAGTTTGTTTAAATCCTTAAAAATTTCAAAATTTAAACATTTAAAATTTATTTTGCAAATTAATTTTGCTTTATCAAATTTTAAAATTTGCTACTTCTACGGTATAAACATAAAAATTATTAGCATATTGCATAGTGAAGGTATTTTTTAACTTTTATGTGTTTTAAAAAACAATTTTTTAATTGAATACAAGTAATTATGCGTTAGTTGATAAATTCTCGTCGTAAATGTTCATTATGAATTAATTCAGTGTAATCACATTATAAATTCCGTTGTAGAAGTAAACGCTTTGGTAGATAAATTTCAGTCACAAATATTTGGTTCATACAATTTACCATTTATACCCTTTACAATTCTGGAAAATCTCGTGAATTAAAATCGAACAATCTGAGATCTTAATTCTGAAACAATATTTAATGTTTTAATTCACTTTTGATCAAAATAAACTATAGGTTTCATTTATTTATGCGTGGAAGTGCGTGAAAATCTCATAACTATAGAAATTTGATTATTTGCTTTATAAAAATTTCGTAGTACAAGCAGATATTGAACAATTATTATTATTATTAAAAATTTTCATAAATTTACTGCTTTGAATCACAAAACGAACCAAATTTTTTTACAATGCAGACGAAAATAAATTTAAATAAAAGGCTAATACTTTTATGCAAATGTAATGCTTTGCGTATGTTTTGCCGAATTTTTCTATCAACTAAAATAAAAAGTATTCCTTTGCCACCTGAAAAATGTTTAAAGTCTTTTATTAATCTTTGAAGTAAAATTTAAAAAATTCGTTTTATTAAATATACAGTAACATTGGATATATTTAAGAAATTTTTTAGCAGTTATCAAATATTGAATTTTAAATATGAAACTGATTCAGTATTTATTAATTAATTTCCAGAATCTAATTTGTCGGATAATACTTTCTTTAATAAGTTAAATTCAAAATTAATTATAAAATTTGATATTTTATACAAAATTTTTAAATGAATGTTATATAACTTCCATTACTAAGGCTTGATTTTGAAATTATAGCAAGCACATTTCTAAAATATTTGTAAAGTTAGAATTTATTATAAAGTTTGAAAATGTACTCTCTAGTATTCAGCAAAATTAATAACTACAACCCTGAAATGTCAACTAAAACAAATCATTAATGTAACTAAAATACCAGATATTATTTCATTCAATAAGAGTCAAATTTCATGTAAATTGTAAATTATTACACTTTAAAAGTGATAATATTGTGATATAAAACAATCATCTGATTTATTTGTGCAATATATCATTTTGATTAAATATATTAATTTTGAATAATTAAATTTATTTAAATCAGTTCTTATATTTTGTTTTAATACCAAAATTGCAGTAATTAATATTTTTAAAATTTTTAAAATTGCAAATTTAAAACGTAATGCATAATAAAATTTTATTGCTATTTTACATGAAAATAAAGAAACTTGCCTTGACAAAGCATCCAGGAAACATGAATCAGAGGCAAAAATGTAGTATGCAAGTTTAGAAACTGTATTAATATATAAAGAATGCTACAAACGGTTAATGAAGAACACATTGCACATGATTGTATTGCAATCTGAAGGTTCAATTTTTTTTGTCTAAAAACTACTACAAATAAACTTTCAATATTGGATATAGATTTAATTTTTTAATTTTAAAAATAATCGAACATATCAAAATTTTCTAATTTTGTTTTATAAAAAGGATAATACTGCAAATGCAACCATGTATGGTTGCAGTATTGCATAAATATGGAAGAATTATTGCGGTTGTTACCATTCTGATTTCGTGATTTAGATATGATCTATCTAGAACCTACTAATTATGATGTCCAATGAATAAATACTTCAAGTAGATGACATAAAATTTAAAATAAACTTAAGTAATCTCATCAACAGATAAATGACAGTAGTAGTTTTATCTTGATTAATTCAGTTAGCTTACAAAAATGTCAATTTTATTCACTAATATCTTGTAATCGAAAATATAACTGATTCTGATTTTTATTCATCGTAAAATCATTTATTTATGTTCCATCTCATATATGTCTAAGTTAAAGAGTAAATGTTAAGTTCCTGATTTCATATGCTAATATCACAGTGCGTCAATTTTTAATATTTATATTTATTTTAGTTCAGTTCTTATTAACTATTATTATTCATATTCATCTTTTTTTTCAATTTTTGAGCTTGATAGTCGCGCATCGCCCAAAAAACTTCAATTTTGATTTTGTAAAAGATTAAAAGGAAGTTACTCGTTGTAAGGATTTTGTCATTCGGGACTCAATGCCAACACCAATTAATTTTCTCCAAAGGATATGTGCTAAGAATATATACTGCTCAATAATGGTAGTTACTACCAAAAAATTGTTTACAGTATGAGCCCACGTTCGTTTCTAAGCAAATAAATATAGACGTAAGCATCTTTTTTTGAAATAAATTTTAGTTCCTAAATGAATTTTTTTTAATGAATACTTTTCTGCTGAAAATTTGAGCAAGAATATAAAAACAGTTTGATTAGTTTAAAAAATATATTAATCAGATTTTGATGCCAAATACTTAATTTTAATTAATATATCAGCTCAAAAACTGCAATGATATCATAGTTTATCACTAAGTTATGTAGAATTTTATCAAATTTTTTGGAGGAAGAGAACTAAAATGATCAGGAATAAAATGCTATTCAAGAATTATTGCCATTTTTTTAGTTATTTAGTCGTAATAATTATTTTTGATTAATGCTGAATGCCTAATCATAATTTAATTAAATTAAAAGTTTAGATTGACAAAAAAAATCATAATTTAAATTTTTTACAGATTTATAAAGACTATTATCAAATATTTGAAAATATCTAATTAGAGTTAATAACCTGTTCAAGATTTGAATCCAATACATTCAACCAAATTCCTAAATTACTGTGGTAATATCCCAATGGACAGAACAGATAAACAATAACGCTATATAAAAATGCAAAAAAAATCAAAATCCATATCTTTGATCCAAGAAATATTGCCTGAAAACTATTTGTTTAATATATTTTTGGTAGAAATCATTCGATCAAAATATGAATTTGATCATTTTGCAATTAATAAGATGGCGATCATAAATACACAAAAACTAAATTTACCGGTAGTTTATTTGATGATAATTGGTAGCATCTCATAAAATTTAAAAGAATACACAGTGAACCATATACAAACCATGAATCTGAAATCATATTACTGCAAATTACTCGGATTATTTATGAACTGATAGCACCATTTACCAAGTTATAAAATTAATTCAAAATTTGCTAACAAATTTTTTTAAATTTATCGTATAGCTATTTTGAAATAAATATATATGTATTTATATATTTAATATAAATTTTAAAGTTGAAGTTCCATAAATCATTTTATTAAATAAAACACAAAAACCAGCGTAAGTATGCATATGCATTATTGCGACCTATCAAATTATAATAATTGTGCAAACTATAAAAAGTATAATAAGTATTTGGAAAAGTTAAATTCAACTTCAACTTTGATACATTCTTTAAAGTTCGACCTTATTTTAATATTGATTTATCTACTTTTATT